TCCATCCATCCATCCATCCATCCGTGGGCGTGCACATGTGTGCGCCAGGGTGGTCAACTTTTATCATCAGATCAGATCCAGGTTTTGTGGGGCCCAAAGCCTATAAATCTCAGAGAAGGGGTCATTCTTTAAGAAAACCAATACACTTTGACAAACATCAAATTAGTCCTGCAAGTAAGGGGCTCTGTCGCTGAGCTTCGAGTCTCTGGTAAGTCTCAGAGGTGCCTCTGAGTCTACAATAATTGCAATGCTGCTGCTGCTGCTGCTGCTGCTGTTGATTGACATCCAGGGAGCCCTACTTTGCTGCCACATCTTATGGTACGCCTTTTACATGTATGTCCCCATCTAAGTAGGGCAGATTCCCCAATAAACTGTCACATGAAGTTTGTTTCACTACCATCCCCACAAAGCAACCAAACTCCATTACCACTGAGTCAATTCCGACTCTCGGTGACCCTGCAGAACTGAGTAGAACAGTCCCTGCATGTTTCTAAGACGGTAAATCTTTTTGAGAGTTGTAAACATCAACTTTTCTCCCATAGACTGGCTGGTGGTTTCAAACTGCTGAGCTTGAGTCTAGCAGCCCATCGCGTAACCTACTATGCCACACCAGGGCTCCGCAGATTGGTCAGTAGACACCAATAAGCTTGTGCCTACCTTGCTTATTGGGTACCCGTCCCTGCAATAGAATCATCCAAGAATCTCTTACCATCATTTCATCGATGAGGAAAAGGAGGCCCGACCCCAGAGCCGCCTGAGCCGGAGCGTCCATGTTCTCACCTCTGACTGTATGAGGGGCAGCACCTGCTTCTCTTTACCGATCTGCCGTCACCAATGAGGGTACTGTTGCCCCACATACCCCTCTGGCTGGTCGTGCCAGTTTTCAGTGGGAAGCCCATGGGGGTCTCCTTACTCTGAGAGGTTCCTTGCGGATTTGAAGTCAAGAGAGGGCTTCCTCCTCATGCCAGTCCCTGGGAAGCCCCAGAGACTATGCCCTCTGCTGACCCCCAGACATGGGGTCAAACTGCCTGGACATAGAGGTGGGCACGTTGGGGGCACTGATGGCTCACTCCCTGGCAGGCAAGAACAGGGTAAGGCTAAACTGGTACTGATGCCTGGAGTCCTAGGGTTCCACTGACCTCTTGGTGCATGGGATCTCTCTGTAAGGGTATCAATGAAGGACTGGGCGCGATGAAGCTTGCGTTTCTTCTCAGAGTTCTGGGTGCCCTGGAAGCACGAAGCTTCTGTTGGACCACACGCTGTCCCTGCTGCTGTTTGGACTCCAGCAGCAATGTGATGTCCACCCAAACCCAAACCAAGTTCATTGGCATCCAGTTGATGCCGACTCATAGTGACCCTATAGGACAGGGTAGAACTACTCCTGTGAGTTTCTAAGACTATTTACAGGAGTAGAAAGCTCCATCTTTCACTTTTGGAGCAGGTGGTGGTTTTGAACTGCTGAGGATCCCAGCCAAACTCGTAACCACCCATCGGGCAGGTCCCAAGTCCCCTGCTGGGGGCAGGCATTGTAGTCTCTGGGTTCTAGGCACGATCTGGTGGAGGTGCCTGACATGGTGAGCAAATGGGCATTTGGTAGGGACCTGGGGACCCTGGGCAAGAGGCCCTGGTGACACTACCCAGTAACACTGGACTGCCCACCAGCAGGTTGGTGATTCGAACACACCAGCTACTCCTTCGGAGGAAGATGAGGCTGTTTGCACCGGTAAAGGTTTCCAGTCTCAAAAACCCTATAGAAGGAACCCGCTCGATCTGGTTTGGGGGATGGTGTGGGGGATTGGAACAGGGGTGCTGCCTTCCCAAGTTGCAACACATCCCAAGGTTGGAGATCTCAGGGTGTGTGCACCCACTTTGGTCCATCACTGCTCCCCGCCTGCTCTCCACTTGTCTAAGGCTCCCACCCCACTTCCACCCTCCAGAGAGCCCGCACACATAAAAAACACATCACAGGGAGCACACACAGCTTCCTTCTTCGACTTATCCCAGCAACAGGCTTCCTGCTACTCTCCCGAATGAGCCTCAGGCCCCTTTCCCCAGCCATATTCCCTGGAAACGCTTGCTGTAAGCCCTGCCCCTCTTCCCTGATCCCTGCCTCTACAGGGCTGACACCCCCCTCCACTGCCCCCCACGACTCCCCCCCCTCCCCCGCAGGCTCCTCGCCTCCCCCCTCACCCCTTTTTGGAGAGCACAGCACATTCCCGGCGGGCGGCGGGCACAGTGGGCGCTTGTTTGTGTGTGTCTGTGAGCAGGCTTGAAATAGCCTTGCCCTGGCCAACTCCCAGGGGACCCCTCTCACCATCCAGTCCCACCCGCCTCCCCTGGGGTCCAGAGACCCCAGCTGGAGCTGCCCGCCCGCCCAAGTGCAAACCCAGGAAAGCCCTGCCTTTCCCCCAGTGAGCAGGGTGGTTTTGCCAGGTCCCCTAGGAGGGGACTGGCAGCGAGGGGGGCTGGCCCGCAAATGGGTGGTTCCGTTTACAGTCAGCATCGATTTTCCGACAAGCCCTCAGGCAGATGGGTTGTTTTCCAACAGCCCTTCGTTAAATAGTTATTGAGTATCGACTTCATCACACACAGAGGGAAAATCACTCTACCACCCCACCCCCAGCTGGGGACTCAGAATAAACAGGGCGGGGAGAGGAAAGGGCAGCGGGTCCCCCAACTCCTCACCGCCTGCCTTTCACACCACAGGGCTAACCACCGGCCTGGCCACGGGCTGCTATTAAAGTAACTGCGGGAAGATTCCTTCCACTGGGGTGGAGCACTGGGGCCGGGCAGGAAGGGGAGTGGATTAAGCCTTACACTCCTGCACACGGCTCACCACGAGGCTTTGTGATAAGTGTTAAAATAGAAGTGTGGATTTGCACCTGGGTCAGCGCTCTGGCTCCTTGTGCCAGCAAGAGGGCATCTGATGCTGAGTCAGTTGGCACATTTCTACTCGTTGGTTTCTCCTCGGCTGTTGTGCTAGTGATTTCTACCAGTTTATCCCTTCTTACTCTTATTCTTTCTCCCTCTTGTTATGATGCAAGTAACCCATGCTAGTAACACGAAAAAAACACCCCACAAAAGTTAAGAAATACAGGTGGGCAAAAAGAAATCAAAGAACTGTTTTAAATGATTATGACTATTTGGGGGGCTCTTACATTTCTTATAGCAATCCACACATCATTTGTATCACCACATTTGCGCATACGTTGTCATCATCATTTTCAAAACATTTTCTTTTTACTTGAGCCCTTGGTATCAGCTCCTCTTTTTTCCCTCCCTCTCTCGCCCTTCCACCCTCAAGACCCCTTGATAAATAGTAAATTATTTTCATATCCCACACCGTCCACATCGTCCGCTGTCTCCTTTCACCCACACTTCCATTGTTTGTCCCCCTGGGGTTGGGGGCTGGGGGAGTCACATGTGGATCATTGCTATCAGTTCCCCCTTTCTCCCCTTTCTTCCTCTACCTACCCCTACCCTCTTTGTATCACTATTCCTGAGGGGTTTATCTGTCCTGGATTCCGTGTGTCAAGGGCTCTTATCTGTAACAGTGTACATGCTTTGGTCTAGCCTGACTTGTAAGGTAGAACTGGGTCATGATAGTGTGGGGAGGAAGCATTAAAGAACTGGAGGAATGCTGTGTTTCTTCAGTGCTATACTACACCCTAGCTGGTTCATCCCTCCCTTGTGACCCTTCTGTGAAGGGATGTCCAACTGTCTACAGATGGACTTTGGGTCTCCATTCTGACCCTCCTCATTTGCATCGAAATGGTTGTTTGCTTTGGGTCTTCTAATGCCTGATATCTGATCCTGTCCGCACCTTGTGATCACACAGGCTAGAGTGCTTCTTCCATGTGGGCTTTGTTACTTCCCTGCTAGATGGCCGTTTGTTTAACTTCAAGCTTTTAAGACCCCAGATGCTGTCATCTAATAGCTGTGCACCATCAGCTTTCTTTATCACATTTGCTTATGCACCCATTTTGTTTTCAGCGATTGTGTCAGGAAGGTGAGGATTGCCAGGTTTTAGAAAATGCCAGGTTTTAGAAAAAAAAAGAGTTCTTGCATTGAAGGAGAGCTTGAGTAGAGGCCCAATGTCTGTAGGCTACCTTGATACTTGGCATATACATATATATGCATAGACCTATATCCCTATCATTACATATTAATAAATTTAAAATAAATGAAAATCCCATCATTTAGAGAATCTTTTCATGATTGATCTGAATAAGAGAAGGTGGGGGAAGACACTGATAAGTTTCAGTTGTGAGTGACCTTTGATCATGGTTAATTGTGACAGCCCTCTTGCTGGGTATAAGATGAACCATCTCAAGCAGCAATTCAGTAGCTCACTAACAGTAAGAGGGTGGAGCCAGGAGCAAGAGGGAAGAGCCAGGAGTGGAGCGAGTCCTTTGGGCCCTGAGATCCCTGCTCATTGGATCTCCTTGATTCAGGAGACAGCTTGTCACCAGAGGAGCAGTGACAGCAGCAATAGACTCAGACTAATTGGAAGCATGGGACTTTGAAAGAGCAGGAATAAAGGGACGTGGGAAGTAAACATTCTAAGATCTTGGATCAGTGGTTCTCAACCTTCCTAATGCCTCAACCCTTTAATACAGCTCCTCATGTTGTAGCGACCCTCCAACCATACAATTATTTTCGATGCTACTTCATCACGGTCATTTTGCTACTGTTATGAATCGGGCGACCCCTGTGAAAGGGTCGTTCAGCCCCAGGTTGAGAACCGCTTGCCTTAGATGGTTGCTTTGGGGATTGTTCCCTGAGATGGCTGAAAGGAGGGTAAGGAAAGATCTGCTGCAGCTGAAGTGAGAAAAGCGACTCTGGTTAAGCAATGGGTGATTGACAGGGGCCAGGGCCTACTGTATTGGTTAAGCAATGGGTGATTGACAGGGGCCAGGGCCTACTGTATTCACTCGGCCAGAGACCCAGACCATTTGCGTCTGAATGGAGAGACAGCAAGGGTGGAGATGAGATTACATTTCTTTTTTAAAGGGTTAAAAGTCGTGTTTATCTGGCTGTACTATCAATATAGAATGTTTCTTCTACCTGGTATTTTAAAATAGGTCTACAGGTGTGATGGAAAACAACATGGTCCTCATGATGATAGAGAGCTTGTAAGCCCACCTTCAGCCTATACGGCCGGAATCTGCTACAAGAGGAGTCAGAATTTACTCTGAATGAAAAGGCTTTATTAGAAGCCGGTAGCTTGAGTTCAGAGTTGGGACCTGAGGTAGAAAATCTGAGCTCCACCCAGAAGCTTCAGCCAAGACATTTGTGCTTGTGTTTGCATGCATCAATGCAGGAAAAGTCTATGCCCATTTGGGGGAAAAAAATCCATTTTAGGCCTGAAAGTTGAAGGGAGCTAGTGAGCAGAAAGCCTGGTGTGCTTGTTGTAAAATGCACTTGTTGAGTGGAAGTAGGGGAGAGGCAGAAACGAAACATGGGCTGAGCTTGGACATAGTCCATTGTCCCCTGCCGATGTCCACAGATGCTGGGGGTCAGAGAGGAGAGGGAGAGGGAGCGCTGGCTAGTCTGAAGTTGTGTGAGCTTTGGAGCTGTGGGCACTGCCCTGGTCTAGTAGGGTTGGGACAGAGAGAAAAGAAGCCAGCTGGTCTGAAGTACAGGGAGGTACATGTGGACCCAAGCTTGCAGCTGGAATCCATTTGACCTAGCTTAGATGACTGGAACCTGGAAAAACGAAGAGAGAAAGGTGTTTGACACGTGTGCTGGTATAAATGGTTGTATTTTGATGTCTTGCTCTGAACTGGACCTTGCTTATAGATACAGCTACTCAAAATTCTTTGGTCTGAAGGATCTTCTGTTCTTGTTGGAACATGTTTATCTCCTAAGGGTACTGGGTTGATCAGGATGGGCAAGTTGAAAATTGGACATCTAAAATTGGCCTAGATGAAGGCATGAAGTGGTTGACTCATAAGGATTTACAGGTGTGGTCCCAGTCAAAGGGGGTAGCTAAGCCTTCAGATATGAAAAGGTAATGGTTGGAAGAGTCAAAGGTGGCCTGCAGTGCAGTGAACTGTTTACTATAACTCTTGTTGCAATAGCCTTTGGTACGTTTACCCAACAACCTTTTCCAGATTGGTCTGGGAAAGAGAAGGTGGGAGAAGATACTGATAGGGTTCAGTTATTAATCATCATTGACGAGGTTCGTTGTGATTTCCATCCTGCTGGGTATAACATGACCCATCTCAGAAGCAGGACACCGGGTGGAATCTCACTATAAGTAAGAGGGGAAGAGCCAGGAGTGGAGCATAACCTTTGTACCCTGAGGTACCTGCACACGAAACCTCCTTGATGGTGGAGACAGCTAGAACTCCACAGGGACAGCAGAACAGCCCCAGCAGGACCAAGAGCCAGAGCATGAGACATAATGGTGGACTTCCCAGCCCATGGGACAAGTAAAGCTGAGTACCTTTTGGTAGGATGATGACTTGTGCAATGGGGTACCTTCAGGCACGTAATCAGGGGAGCTAGGTTTGCTGACCCATGGAACTAGAGAGCTGCGGGTGTGATACACAACCTCAAGGAGTTACCATCACTCACTCATTCATTCAACACATGCTTATTGAGCATCTACTATATGCCCAGAGCTGAATATCTTCAAGCTGAGGACAATGGTGGAGTGGTATACCTTTCTGGCATTTATTGGCAACCCTAAAAGAACTTTGTAACATTGCATGAGCAGGTAGAGGCCAATGCACTTTGTGACTGAGA